TCTAATAATTATTAGAAGAATTTTTTTGTAAGACGCTAAAATGCAGGATTAAAAGCCAGTACGACGTACGTAATAGCTAATCAGATATGAGGATCGACGTGTGGATTATTCTAGAGCTTGATTTCCTAATTAGAAATATCGGCAGACTGTAGTAAAAAAAAGTTTTAGATAGAGCAGCTCCATATTCGGGCTTATAGTAAAATTTATATATAAAAAAAAAAATTTTGTTCAGTTGACTGGAGAATTGTCTATTAAAGACTTTCTCATTGTTAGAGAAAAGTCTGGCCTTCTTGTTATTTGGTTGTTTATCCATATCTAGGGTAATATGTTTGTGCTTTCTGAACACTAAGGTTCTTGTTTCATCGAAGTTTTCAAAGAAATCAAGTTGTGATTGTACCAAAACTTTGTTTTTAGTATAAATTCTAAAAGTGAACCAGAAAGAGTTTAAGTTTTGTATTTTTTGAGAACACTTTCTACTAGTAAGTGATCAGAGTTTCCAAATCAAGTGAGTGTATTAGTGCAAAGGTAACTATGGCTAGCCTCAATAAAAATGTAGTCCAGCCTGGTTGCCATTCTTCGGTTGCCAGAAATTGTTTGGTAGAAAGTAAGAAAAGGGTCTTCTTTAGAGAATAGTGTGGTATCTGTATAATTAGCTATCAGTTCTCTCAGTAGATCTCTAGAGCGATTATTCTGAGAAGTGGCTTGACTAATTCTGTCTTTTTCTGGTCTTAAGTTTGTATTAAAATCACCTCCTATTATGCAAATGCAGTTGTTATTTGAATTTGATGCCTAATTGTTAAAAAAATTAATTCTTTCTTCAATATTGGATGGTATGTAAATATTTGTAATAAGAAAAGGCTGTTGTTTGATCATAGTTTTGACTGAAACTACTCGATCTTTATGGGAGATTTTGGTATCAGTAAGTTTAATGTTTCTTTTTCCTGCAAGAATTGCTACTTTGGATGACCAAAGTGAGTCAAAACCCTATTGTTAAGAGAGGAATCTTCTGGTATTTGAGTCTTTTAGATTTGTTTCTTGAATCATTATAATGTCCAATTTGTATGACTTTAAAAGTGTAAGTGTTTTTTGTGCTTTGGATCTGCTGTTCAGACCCTTAACATTAAGTATAGCAATTTTAATCATTAGAATTATTGAAGAGAGGACTACACTAAAGATGTATATCTTTAGTGTTAGTTCTTATATGAAGGGTGGCTTTGGTAAGAGCTACCTGCTTTTCCATATGGTCTATCTAATTGAATATAAGATTTCTTGCCTTTTGCTTTTTGTTTTCTAGAAACAACTGTAATAAAAGGCATGTTATTATCTGTTATATTAGTAGCATTGGGAGCTGCTGAATCATCTTAAGATTCTATTTCCATTTAAGATAGAGTATCTGAGAAGCTAATAGTAGATGCAGAGTCTGCTATTGCTTCTTTTGCTAAACTAGAAGTTGTAGAGTTGTTAAGGTCTGTTTCCATTGAGGCATCTAGTAGTTCCTCTTCTAGAGATATTGCAAATGATTCTGTAGTTTGGTTGTTGACTAAAGTTTCTTGATTGATATATGGGTTGTCTTGACTAAAAGCGATTTTTGGAGAATTGGAGGCTATAGACTTAGCATTCTCTCTTTGTTCTTTGGCCTCTCTTAGAAGCCTTCTTGTTTCTATTGAGGCTTTTAGCTCCTTATAGTCTCTTTTAATATAACCTTCTTTGTCACAATAAAAGCAAATTTTAGGAGCTTCCTTCCATTTTGTAAAAATTCTATAGTTGCCAATATAAGTGCTTCTTGGTATTCGTGATGTAGAAATACTTATTTGTGCGAGTGATACAAACCCAAAAAAGAAAATTCAACATAAAAATAAACTAACTTCATGAAAATAAAAATTTAGGGTTAGAACATAAAATTAGATGCTATAGAAATAAATATTTACTTCCTAAATGTAAAATTTTATTTCTGTCACTTTTAATTAGTGACCAAAAACAGGTTTAAATACTCAGTTTTTGTATTTTCACTTTTTTCATTTTTTTTTGTGTTTTTCTTTGCTTTGTTCACATGCCGGGCTGATCCGGGATGATCACATTTTACGTTCTCCGATTGGCTAATTTCTCTTTTTGAATTTGTATCACTTGCACAAATAAGCGCATGTATTCGTGATGCTAGCTCTGGATCATCTGTAGTTTTGAAAATAACTAGCCATTGATCAGTACAGATCAAGGTACCTTTGAAAAGAAGAGGTTTGATTGAAGCTATTTGTCTGACATCTCGGAAGACTAATAAGATACTGTTGCTAATATGATTAGTATCTCCCATTGGGTGTTTTTAAGCTTGACAGTAAGGAAAGAGCGGTTGAGATTGATAGGAATATATCTAAAGAAGGTTTGTATCTAAATAAAACTCTTTTTCGGTTCACTCCTGGAAAAATACTTGAAATCAAAATTTTACAAAGAAACTCATTTTTTATTTTCGATTTTTCTAATGAGACAAGAACCTTGAGGTTCAAAAGGCATGAACTTACTACTCTATACATGGGTAAGCAACCAAACAACAAGAAGGCCTGACTTTACAAAAACTAAAAAAAAACAAAGAAATCAACAAGAAACTTGACAACAATAACAACAGCAACAATAACAGTTCTAGACCAGGAACAGAAGTATTAGTTAACTTGATTCTCAATATGTCTGATACAAACTGGGCAAACCAGATAGAAAAGGAGAAAACTACTGCAAAAGAAAGCAAAAGTGAAAATTCTTGTAGTCAACAAGAAACATATATAGATCACCCAAATACAACAAGTCACGTAAATAATA